TCCTTAATTAACAAAAAAAAACATTAATTTTATAATTAGTTACTATTATAGTAATTTTATAAATTTAATAAAATAAATACTGTAATTCATATAATCAAATACATTTTCACAAAAAATAATACTTTGTAAAATTAATACAACTGTAATGTGCTCTCTTAAATTTTATTTTTAATTACAAGAATCTAAGTACTTTCTCCAATTACATTTGAAACTATTTCCAACAAATTCAAAGCATTTTATTAATCATCAACAAATTCTTTAGAAAAACTATCACAAAATTTTGAATAATTTGATAGTTGATATTTAGTAGTCAGAAAGTAATTCTCAATGTATTTTTTTAATGTAAAATACAGTTGTAGTCATTCACAACAACATTTAATTTGAAGATGTTCTAAGACAGGTCATTTCATCAAAAATTTTTATCTAGTATTTTCCTAAATACACATCACGAAAATTTGGAATATAATTCATTTATTAAGAAACAATCACAATGATACAGAATTAAACTGTTATGAGGAATTGTGACCTCTCACAATAAATTCAATCATTCTGACTAATAATTAATCTTTCCCAATCACAACTTATCTTTTCTAGTGGTGAACAAAGTATTTGGCATTATTTGGTATTCAGGTATAGTCAGCTACAAAGTAAGTATCCAATATTCAACTGAATACCAACATTCACAGGCCAATATTTGAACCAAATAATTCTTCAAAGCTGAAATATTCAGCCAAATGAACTCATTTTACCATGGGCAGAGAAAGAAGTGGAGAGAAGAAAAGACAAAAAAAATAAATAAATAAAACACAAAGTAAATTGACAATATTTAAAAATATTACTTACTCTTTTCTGAAACAAATATAACTAACTAGCTTAACCGTCCCACATTGCAGCAATCTCAGAAGAAACGAAACTCAAGCAAACTCATTATGATAAAATTCAATTTACATTTTATCATTTTTATTGAAACTTATTATTATTCATTTTCATCGGAAAAGCATTTCAAAGTGTCGTTTCAATTCTATTTATTTATTGGAGTGCTTATGGATACACGATGTGTTTTGTTTTTCTATCTGGTGCATACACGAATAAATCAGAAGGTTTTCCGATGCGTGAGCTGGCCACACACAGTTGTACATGTGAGAAGCATGGATTCTTCAAATCAAGCCCACATACTCGAAGAGATTGTTAGAAGTGAGATATTCCCCATTTTTATATATATATTTTTAATCCTTTATAATTTTGATTATTTAATTGCTCCTTCCTCTCTTCCTTGGCATGTTGTGAAATTTCTGATAGTTGGATAATAAACCGTTTTATTGTAATTTGTCTTTTTAAATTATTTNTTTTTTTTTTTCATTTATAATTATTTATAGAACTTTTATTGCTTCATAGATAAGTTCAGAAGTAATAAAAACTTATTTTGAAACACGTTTCCTGTGAACAATGCCAATTTTGTCAATTTACTATGATGTTAACATAATTACATACATTTAAAAACATATTTTGTAAAATACCTCAAATTCTTTCAAGATCACTTATCTCATCTAGCTTTGAATACATACAGAACTCAATTAAGAAGTCTTTCAAGGGACAAATTTTTAAAAATTCTTATGTCTGCAACTTCTTTAAGCAAAAATGAAAATATAACTTTTCATTCAAAATTCCAAATTTATTTAACAATTTTTCACTACATTACAGTGAATTAGGCTTATACTCTATCTATTCATTTAGATATTTGTCTACGGTACTTCTTTGTATGTTCTGTTACGTAAAATAAGAACACATTTTGATTCCCACAGAAAAAAAAACAGTGCTACAGTATATCGTAATAAAATTCATTAAAAACTTACAGTATAACTCACAAACTGATTGCATTTTTCAGAACTTGCTGTTGGTTGCAGATAACTATGTAAAAAAAACTTGTAAAATCCATGTTCTCAGTAGCCCAAAGTTACACACAAGATAACAAAATTTTGTGTATTTCCCGATTTATTATTTTGATCCATATGCAATTAAATGTGTAACATTTTCAACAGCAAGCAATTGAAAAAATTCAGTGAGTCAATTTTCCAGTCATAAACAACAATTTCACTCTACTCAAATATTTTATACAAAAGAAGTTTACATTACACAAATCTTGTTTTTCTCACACAAGATAATTTTTTAGCCTTATATTTATATATGTAAATATTTTAATAGTCTCTTGTGTCTTTTTATTTTAAAATTAATTATTCTAAAGCTTCCAAGTACTTTCCTATTGGTGCAACTTAATTCAATGGGTCAAATAAAATGTGAAACAAGCACAAGTTCAAAACCCAAAACCTAACACAAGGATATCACAAAATGAAGAAAGTGCTGAAATTCTTCTCTTTTAACAGTTAGCAAATCAACAGCATATTCACAAAATAATAAACATTTTTTAAAAAAATATTAATCAAACAAGGTTTTTTTTCTACACAAAAGTTCAGAAATACAATGTGCACTATGTGAAATTTGCCACAACTCTGTGTTGGTGTAAAAACTGCACTGCCAAAATTCTATATTACATGAGTACTATCTGTATATATTAAATTTGAAATGTCTAAATATTCAATATATTTATTTATTAAAAATGTTAAAATGTAACTCTCCTAAAAATCAATCAGGTATAAATGTGTTTGCATTTTCTGAACTCCCAGAAATATGAATATTCTTGTAATCCTTTACAATTATTGTGTTGAATTTTTTTTATAAACAGTAATACTGTTTCTATGTTGGAAAATAAATGTTAAACTTTGCAGACATAAACCAATACAATTATTATTAAACAAATATTTTCTTCAAATGTAATCTAATATAATTTTCATTCAATATACTTTACCATTTTAAAATAACATGAACCTATACACACATTAACTACTAAAAGTTCATTTAATGAAAATGTAAACAAACTTTCTTGTTTGTATTTGTCATTTTAAATTTATTCAATAACCTCTATTATTTGTTGGAACTACCAATATGAAAACTTGTTCAAATTATTTAACAAATTATAAATTTCTATTCCATTGCAAATGAAAAAAATTTATTACATAGATTTACAATTAGACTATTAAATTCAAGAATGCTAAATTTATATATAAATTTCTTTCAAACAATCTAAACACTTATACAGAGGAGTAAAGAATTAGTTGATATTTAGTAGTCAGAAAGACAAGTTATTTTCAATTTTTGATTGATTCAAAAGTATAAAAACACAGGTGCATAAAATTAATACGATAATTTTTTTATTAATTATTTGTTTAATTACTTGTCATCAGAAGATATCAACATTCATTATTACAAAAAGTAATGCTAATTTTAAACAGTTTTTTGTGATTTAAAACAATACCTCATGGAAAAACACTAACAAAGTTGGAAATACATCAAATTTACTAACTAAAAGGAGCGGGACAATCACTAAGACAAATTTTGGCAGCTGTGAATTGATCTACACATGCTGTGAGAAGTGTATTAACTCAGGGTGAAAATTATGGCAGAAATAATCAACGTGGAAGGCTTAAACTCTGTACACCTAGAAATGAGAGAAGTTTTTTGAATACTGACGGTCAACAAGTTGTCTGTCAGAGAAGCAGCATCAACATTGCCAACTGCAGTTTCTCCAGCAACTGTATGGAGATACAGTCGACCCTCCTATAACATTGTTGATAATTCTGTTTTATATGAATTTCATGTTGTACGAGTCACTTAGATTTTACAAATATGTGTGCCGGACTGTGAACGGCTCACATATTTGTAAAATCTACGTGACTCGTACAACATGGAATTCATATAAAATGGAATTATCAACAGTTTTATAGGGGTGGTCGACTGTATATGCATAATCATAAAATTACCAAATTTACAAAAATGGCTGCCAAACTGAAATTAACACAATTGCACAAAACAGCTAGATTAAAGTGGGCCAAAGACAAGATGACATGGAAAGAGCAGTAGAAACAAATAGTCTTATCAGATGAAAAAAATGAAATTTGGATGGAGCTGATGGTTATAGTCGCTAGTGGCATGATTTGATACAAGTCAGAATGAGCAGACAGCAAGGTAAGGGCTCTGTGATAATGTGGGCAGGATTTGAATGTGGGGTAAAACAGACATTGTATTTATAGAAGGTAGAATGAATGAAGTATCAAGAACCATTATATCAAAATTTAATAACTATTGGATCACTTATTGGGGAAGAAAACTGCCAATTTCAGCAGAATAATGCTGCCATTCTTGCATCAAAGTCAACTAAAAATTGGTTTACTGAAAAAGAAATTAATATAAATCGATTGGCCATCATGGAGCCCTGGATATGAACCTGATAGAGAATGTTTGGGGCATTATGAGTCATCTTGTTTATGGCAAAAACAGACAATACAATACTGTAAATGAACTGAAATTAGTTATCGTGGATTGGTGGGAAATTATTAAATAAGAACGTGAAAAACTAGTAAATGTATGCCTGATAGAGTATTTGAATTAATTAAATCAAATGGTGGACCTACAAAATATTGAGACATCACAATTATTTTATGCACCTGTGTTTTTATACTTTTTAAACAATCAAAAATTGAAAATCTGTGATACTTTTTTTTGTAATTGTCAGATTGCTCTAAACATTTCAGAAAACGTTTAAATTGATGTTGTAAACAATATACTAATATAATAAATACATTACTATTGTTAATGTTTTTGTTATTGAATAAAGTTGGGTGTGTTTATAATTTTGAAACAGACTGTAAACCTTGTTTATATCAGTTATTAGCCTATAGTAAACTTGGTTTTGCTATATATCATTTCACTTAACATCAGTTTCTGAGAACTTATCATAATCAAACGAGAACTTGCTGTATTTTATAAATTAAAATAAAAAAAAAGGTCCTTATAATTCTATAAATTAACTTTTTTCATTGATTTTTCATTTATTTTAAAAACCATTAATTTTCATACAATGCAAATTCAAGCAAACAGATACATACTTTGGAGTTGGCGATTCTTTCACCAAAGTTAATGAATGTTGTGCTGCATCTAAGAGTTGAACTAATAAATCAACCAATCCATTTTTTTCAGCTAATGTCGCACATGGCATCTTCATCTCCTACAGAAAAAGTAAATTAAAAATTGTAGCAAAATTAAAGTTTTTTAAAGTATTAATTAAAACTTACAGTAATTTGTATTTAATGTATTTTCAAGGATTGTCCAGCATGTCAGTCTATCCAGGGGAGACCATGATATTGGATATTTCCATATGGTAAAAACCAGCAAACTGGTTTATCCTGGAGAATGCTGACATGACAGTTTAAGTGGGATGTTAAAAAAATGAATGAGTTACGTCACATAAAAACAAATGAGTTTTTATTGTGACTATGAAACTCAGCATTACATCAAATGATTATATGTTCAATTTCTTCATTCTGTCTTCTTTCTAATGATGTAAAATACTTACGGAATTCCAAAAATGCTTTTTTTAAATGTGTATTTTATTGTTGTTTCATTCAAAAACACAAAAACAAACGTATTAAATTTAAGAAACATACTATAAGTTACCTGGCTACACCTATTAACATCCATTTTGTGTAAAATTTGAGAGGAAGGTGTTATTTTTAAGGTCAGAGTAACTACTACTACTACTACTACTACTACTACTACTACTACTACCATCATCACCACCACCACCACCAATAGATGATTGTTTTGTCTTAAAATCAGGAAAGTTTTTGTTTACAAGTCAGTCAACTTACAAATAATATTTTATTGTAGTTGGAAATATGTTTTCTTTAATGTTTAATTAAGAACTAGTTGTTTGATCTTATTAATTTTATATTTTAGTGGCAGTTTAACTGGCAAACTGGTCTCCCCCATTTATATGCGACATGATAATCATTTCACAAAATACAATATATACACAATTTATGTGTATTTACATTCACAATAATTATTCAAATTACATAAAAATTACATATTATGATAGCAAGATATCCATTAAAATTATTTCAGGTTTTTGTTGTTTATGATAACTATTCCTATTATTTCATCAAAATCCTTCTTGTTAACCTAGCCCATATTGAAATTTTTGTCCAATGCATGTCGCTCTACATTAAATTTTTTTCAATTTTAAGCATAATGAAAATTACATGTTTAAAAAAAAATAATTGTAGATATTGTATTTTCCAAATTATTTTTTATTTTGCCCAAACAAAAAACATATTATAAAATGTAAAAACAAAAAACCATATCTTGGAAGATAGTTTTAATATAATAATTATGACAAGTAGCAACATCTAGTGTTAAAAAAATGTTCCAATGCAGGAATGAGATATCTCAGGTGCAACAGTCTGGTTCTTTTTTTCAGATTGAGATATCGCAGGAATAACACAAAATAGGTTAATAAAATAAAAATTTTATTTTATTGAACAAAACACATTAATGTACAGTCAGTAACTTAATGATTTAATTTCATTCGTGTATTTGTATGTATATTTTACATACAAAAAGATACACAACCAGATGTGATTTTGTATTATGATTCATTTTTCCAGTTACATGGGGTAATTCTCTACATTTAGAGAGACAACATTAAAAAGAAAATAAATATACATATTCCCTTTAATCTTTAAGTTAAATCAACAAACCATATCAAGTTACAATTGAAAATGTAATGTTGCACTTCCTTCTGGGTTCATCTATCTTGCTACAATCACACAACAAATGATAAATAGAAAACTGATATTAAAAAATTACTTTTGTTTAAAATGTTATCAAAAAATTTGAGTGTACTGTTTTAAAAAAAGTTAAAAATTTCTTATTAACAAGTGCTGCTAGGCGTTGTTGCTTCACTACATTAAACATAGTGACACAAAATACTTATCTATTGTTAAGCACAATGCACTAAAATAACAAGAAAAACATTATAATGAGTTACATCACATGGCTTGTGAGAAACACTTGTTTTTATAGAAAATGATAAAACTAATGCAAAAAATTTTAATGAAAGAGCATAGTAATTTTATTTTTAGTAGTAAAAAAAATTTTCAGAAATTCTGACTTTTACATTATATATAACTTTCAAAGTAAGTGCTTGATTTCTTACAGAAGTCATATGACTACTGCCGGATTAAAAACACTGAAAAATATCCATAATTAAAGAAATTGTAAAAATAAGATCAATCATATTACCTCTAAAAGCAAATATATATGGACAACAAAATTAGAGAGACATTAAATGTCAACAACTGATGTCACCAATCCTCTCTTTTCACCTCAACAATTAAGCTGGGTGATTGGTTGAATATATTATAGACATTCAAAGTGACTTTAATTTTGCCACCTGTGCGCACATCTTAACACAATGTATTAGTACTGTGTTAGAATTAATGTGCTATTTTAAACAAAAATAATATTCATATTTTATTTAACTGAACAACTTACCTCAAACAATAATGTAAATAGATGTATTCGTACAGCTGCTTTATTTGCTTCTGGAAGAGATGCTAGTTGACAGCTCCATTCTTCAAGTGAACGTGTATCAGAGGTTGTCATTGGTGCTGCTGCTTTAAGCAAAGCATTAACATTTTCTATAATCTATTAAATACATAAATATGTAAAATATTATCAACTGTTATGTCTTTAATTTTTTTATTTTATAAAACAAACCTCTTGTAATAACTGCAGCAGCATTCTCTCACGCCAAGCTTCACCATTTCTTACTACTACAGCAACAATAAGATCACAAGCTCTGTATACAGTATCTGGAAGTATATCAAGTAATCTCAAACAACCAGGTAGCATATGTTCAGTAAAATGATCTATGACAATAGTTGCTAATGGTTCTTCTTCTTGCAAATGCTGTGTCATTTGCTGCTGATCTTTCTCTTGTTCTTTAACTTCTTCAGTTTTACCAGCAGCTGCATCTTCCTATTGATTAATTAATTACAATTTTCTTCATTACTAAGTATGATACGCTTTACTACAGTATATATATTTTAAGAATATAGATGAAATTTGCTATTAGTATAATAAATTTTAACTAAATTTTTTCACTAGTTAAATATGAATTACTGATTTTAAGTATAAAACAGTAATTTGGGATTCAAAAATAAATTACAATTAAAATACTCATTTTTAATAAAATCAGTGAAATTTATATAAAATTTAAAGAAAGAGTTAAAGAAAATTAATTTTATTAAGTGTTCAAGCAAAATAAGGTTTTCTTTATAAATTTAACATAAGACTACACCTATAAAGACACTAAGATCTGTGCTTGTGATTGCCTTGCTACATGAGAGAAATCTTGTTTGGTTTTTCCTATGTGTCTGGATGTCAGAGTATGAGTGTGTGTGTGGGAGGGGCATGATTTTGTTCATTGTCTTTTGATGCTTAATAACTACTGTGCTTTTTGTCAAAAAAGTTCTGAAATTTTGCAGAGAGATTTGGACATTAGAGGATTGATGCTATTAAATTTTGGTGGTTAAAGATTGACAATGGGGAGATAAAGGGGATCGTGTGTCATATCTTGAGAAGTCAGAAAATTTTACTCATTAGCATTTACTTTTTCTTATAAAATTCATCTCTACCCTCAAAATTAAGCTTTTTGCCATTTTATAATTATAAATATAAAAACTTATTTAAATAAAATATCATAACAGATAGCACCACCAAAATTTTAAATATTGCTATGAAAGTTAAGCAAATATTTGCTGAAATTTTTCTTACACGTACTTCAAGTTCATACATTTTTTGCACATGAACTTTTTTAGAAAACTTGAAACATATCAATCTTAACATATAGATAAAAGTATTAATAAAATATTACCTGACTTGTAGAAACAAGAACATTTTCTCCCAAAGACATAGCAATTGCCCTTAACATCTGATCCTCTTCTGACATATCCCAATCCACATTCAGACCCTAGCAAATAACAGATTTTTCTATTACATCATTTTTGCACAAGATTCATTATCAGTTTTATAAATTTGATGTGTTCACATCATTTTAATTATACATTTATAAATAACAGATAGCTAAAACTTTCTTTTGTATAATAATCCCCATATGCATTTTTACCTATGCAGAGAAATATCAAATAATTACATTATCTCTGTTCTACTAAAATGATGATAAAAATTCTGACTAAAATATAAAATTCAATTATTTTCTTCTAAGTGCTTTTTGTGTTTTGTTTTTCTTATTTGATTTGAGTGTGTCAAATATCATCTTTTAAGATATTGAAAAAAATAATTTTATAACTACTGAAATTTATTATGCTCTTTTTTAAAAATTTACAAAAAAAATGTTATATTTTTACATACAGGGTTCCTTCTCAGGATTTTAAATTCCATGACTTTCTCTGACCAACTCCGTACAAATTCCTTAACCCTCATATCCCTTACAGTATGGCACATGACAAAATAAAACAGCATTTGACTTACTATGCACATATGCTATTCTTCTCCAACTTTTTTATAATTGCCAAATTATTAAAACTAAAAATAAAATGTTTTATTAAATTAAAGTAGTTTACTCTGTTATTAATCCATAACCATAAATCTACATGGCTTTGAAAAGAAGAAAAAAAATCATTTATTTATTTATTGTTCATTAACAAATCCTGTATAATCCATGTATGAAAGTATATATTTATTAAATTTATCCCTTAAGATTTCCTGAACTTTATAAAATATTAATAAACAGGGGGAAAAAAATCAAAAAATGTTTTGTTATGCAAAATAAAAAATAACAAATACAATTTAACTTAAATTTTATCATTTGTTTGTATTTATAAATTTTTGGGAAAATTTTGTACACACTTGGGAGAAATTTTGAATCCTGAAATTATTCTGCACTCCTTTTCATAGGTTGTATTACTGTTTGCTGCCTTGCATACTGACAGCACAAAAATCAACAAGGTAACCAAGGAGACAAATTTCCTGACTTTCCATGACTATTTTCAAACACTAATGAAAATCTCTGACTTTCCAGATGCCTAGGAACCCTGTACATAATTGGTGATAAAATTGTATTTATTATATTAGTATATTGTTTACATTACTATTGTTAATGTTTTTGTTATTGAAAAAAGTTGGGTGTGTTTATATTTTTGAAATGGACTGTAATTATAAAATATTATTCTTGTGATATTTCAATTCTTAACTATTTCTGTTAATAAAACAGTTTCAGGAAAACATTTAAAGTTCAGCTATTTTACTGGCAAGTATAATTTACTTTATAGCTCAAGTTGTTGAGTCTAAAGATGTTTTAAATCTGGACTGAAAAAAAAAAAACAATTTGAAGCCTGTTGATCATTTAGAAAAATATATGAAATAAATGTAAATTCAGTATAATTAAAATATAATAAGCTTTTTTTATAATAGCAACAGAATATGGTATGTGATCATAATAAATTTTTAGTGAAGCCATATACTGTAGTTATAATCATATTATTTTAATTTTTAAATCATCACTCTCAAAAGAAACATTTTAATACAGTAGAGCATCGATTATCCGAATACCAATCAATCAAAACATCAGTTAACCTAAGGTGTTTCAGTCGGAAAATTTAAATTTCCACCTGGGCTGTGGCATTGCAGCACTCTTTCCCTCTCTGCCAAACTGAACTGTAGGCCTAGTTTAACATATTAATTATGTAAGGTATGTATTTGTAAGACGTGCGATACAAATTATATACAGTACAGTTTTGTGTTTAATATATTTTTTTGTAAATGATCAGTTATCCAAAAAATCAGTTATCCAAACAACCCCAGTCCTGAATTGTTTTGGATAATCAATGCTCTACTGTAACATAGAAATAAAATTTTCTATTGAAACTTTTGACACAGTTTTGAAGTTCTTTTTTTCTTGCCTCGTAACAACAAATGAAGCTTTAACATCCATTTAAAAGTTTTACACACTGTATTTAGTAACCAGTTTCAAAAGAAATAAACTGATGGGAAAAACTGTTCTTTATACAGTAGAGCGTTGATTATCCAAATCAATTGGGGACTGGGGTTGTTCGGAAAATTGATATTTCGGATAACCGATTATGTACGAAAAAATATATTAACCTATCCCATGTTGGAATTTTTCTCCGTTGCATGTTGCTTTGTGTTGAATTTTCGTCGATGTTAAGCCTAATGGTGCAACTATGCAGATGCGAGCAAGCAAGAATATGTGGCGAGAAGAGGCGAGACGCGATAAATATCAAAACCTGTCAGCTATGTGCGAGAACCAGAAATTCACTCTTGCTAGCGATATTTCTCACTTCTCGCTTGTGCATGGTTTTCCTTTGTGAGAACTATAGTGCTCGCAACCTCTCGCTCGCTACTAAATTCGCGTCTGCATAGTCGCACCCTAACGAAGACGAGTGTATCGTTAAAAATTATTTTTTTATTTTGTACAAACAAAATAAATACATTGAAAATTATACTTCAGAAGTTAATTTAGTATCAAAAATGTGAAATATTTGAGTAGCCCAAGACTAGCTAAAGATTGCAGCGCCATAGCACTGGTGAAAATTTAAATTTGGTGACTGGAATTCTTTCAGATAATTGACGCTCTACTGTATTTGACTTAGTCATCATACAGTGTCATGAACTTAATTTAAAATGCTTGTTCATATTTTCGTTAATCACTAATATTTATCAACATTAAGTCAATATTGTGTGAATATAAGACCACGTCTTATATTAATTTTTGCTCCAAAAGACGCATTAGGTCATTTTCAGAGGATGTCTCATCCAAAACTTAAATTACAGTTAAGTATTTGCAAATACTTAAAGTAAATCATAATATAAATTATAGTGAAATATTAATGTCAATAATAATATTTATATTTAATTATATATTATTATTATTTTATAATTCAATAGATCCATTGTGGATTGCGATAGATGTATTAAATATGACCATCTGGCTGAGTTTAACTGGGACTTACTTTAGGGGTAGGCTTATATTCACGAATTATACTAACAGATAAAAAAATTAAATGGCAAATAAATGTATTTTAATATTCAAATGTTTTGATAGATGTATTAAATATGACCATCTGGCTGAGTTTAACTGGGACTTACTTTAGGGGTAGGCTTATATTCACGAATTAAATTAACAGATAAAAAAATTAAATATTAAAATATTCAATATGCTATTTTACAAAGCAAAATAAAATCGTTACCATAATCATATAGGCCTACTGTATTTTTTTTTGAATGCGGCTTATACACATATCTGCAAGGCACGCAATTATTGTAATTCTTTGTATATACCTCTTACCTGACCTATTACTGAACATTTCGTCAGTTTCTATCACTGACTGTCACACTTCAACTGAATTTGACGACTATTACGGCTAATGAAAGTATTAATCTGTGATTACTATCTATTCGTGGTTTGTACTCTAAGGTTTCTTCTATTTTGGAGTTTATAAGTCTTTTGTCTTCGCTCTTTTCTGATGAGCGAGAAACACCGACTCGCTCTTCCCTTCTTCTCGACATCCCAGAACAACTGATACTTCGTTAGAACAAATTATCTTCGTCTATCTTCTCGACAGATTGTCAACTTCTACACAGTCGCTATTCTTTTCCGTCTACAACTTCTCCAGTTTCAAATAGGGAGGAGATTTTCGTCCGTTACAGCGACACCGATAAAATTTCATTTTTACACCACTCTAGGTGTGATATGACCCTGATATCTTACTGAACTAAACTCAGTTTTGCTACTTTTAATTTCGAAAAATCTAGAAAACATTAGGACGTGTCTATTTGCCCCACTTCCCCAATAGATACTTAATACCATCGCCCTTATACAGCCAGAAACTGTATACATCGAAGGGCACATAAGTGAGGTTTTGTTATATAATACAGGATAAATTTCTAAACTGAAAATTTATATTAATTGTACTGCTTGGTTAATTTTCAGAATAAGATAAAATTAATAATAAAAATAATTGCAATACGCTTATTTATAAATCAGGAAGATTTCAATTTTTTAAGAAAAATATTTTAGCATCAATGATGTGTTCAATGTAGTGAAAATTACTTTAATAGTTTATAAAATATATAATTTATTATAAGTTTTTACCATCAACAATTCTTAAAATATCCTCGGGATGAGATAGGTAATTTGGTTGAATAATTGGATGTTCGTAAGGATTGGCACTTCTTAATTTAACGTATCCACGACTTTTGGGATGAATCAAAACAGGAAATATAGAAAATGCATCGTCATATTCGAATGGACTATAATATAAATCATATATCTGAAAAACAAACTTATATATTATCATTTTATAAATCGTATTATTTATTATGCATTAAATGAATAAATATTTATTGACCTCTCTTTTCAATCCTGCTGCAGGAAAAAATAGTTTTCCTCCATCAGAAGCCATTCCTCCAGATAAAAAATGATACTGAATATCAGGGTAATCATCGGCTGGATTTGCGTACTTAGTGTTTATGAATCCTATACCTTCTATTCCGATAGAAAGTGTCAAAATCCCTGTTGAAAAAATGATTATTTCAGTTTTATTATTACTGTTTGAAAATAATATGATTTAAGAATTTATCGTACAGTACCTCTCCCTGCAATATAATATTGTAGCAGCGCCTTTGGAGTGAAAAATCGTTGAAGAACCGCTGAAATCGGTTTATTAATTAAGAAATCCAGTCCTAATGGGAAGATATGATCTTGTAGATTTAAACCCACTGGAAGATTTGAAATAACTGGAATCTATCAAAATAATATAATTTTCATCATGCCATTTGAAAGGTTAATTAATTTAAAGTACTGTAATTACCCGTAAACGTTGTAAATCTTCTTTAGGTCCGATACCCGAAAGCATTAGCAACTGAGGTGAATTTATAGTACCTGCTGATATTATTATCTCTTTCCTGGCTTTGACAAAATATGTTTGATTGAAACGATCGAAAGTAACTCCTACGGCTCTTTTAAATTCATCGAAGACAATCTACATAAATAATAGATTAAAATTAATTTAAATAATGAGGTTTGTCAAGCTTACAATAGGATAGCAAGAGAAAAGATCCACCACNGCTCGTGTAAACGCGCGCCATCTATCGTAGGATAAATGTACTATGCCAAAAACCTTCGCAGGAGTGTATTAAAAAACTTTCCAAAGTTTTATGGCAATCGTACTATGCCACAAACCTTAGCCGGAGTATATTAAACAACTTCCCAAAGTTTCACGGCAATCGGATAAACGGTGTGGTAATGCACGAAGGACATAAGACAGACACACAGACAGACATACATTCATTTTTATATATATAGATAAGTGCTCTGGAGCCAATATTTATTAATAACCACAATTCAACAAAAATAAATTGCATGAAAAAAACATTAATGCTTCTGTATATATAAGGAGTAAGCAATTTTGTTGGGTTGTCCATAATCACATAGCTTTCACTGAGCATACTGTATAATTAGTAAATGCACTATTTTGTGGTACTGCTGAATAACAATGGATTGAAATAGCAACTATTATATTTTTTTACTTTTAAAAAAAATTATGTAATGAAAACACACAATCTTTATTATTGAATAGAAGACACTGCCCTATGCCTTATTCTAAGGCTTAAAAAATTAGTTGATATTTAGTAGTCAGAAAGACAAGTATATTTGACAACAGTAATGTCTAAATAATTGTTCAGTATTTGGCCAAAAATCCCTATTTAGTCCATCCCTAATCTTTTCTGTATCTGTTTTTATGTTGCAAGAGTCAAGACTCTTCAGAAAGTAATTGCTTTGTTCACTATTAATACCATTCAAAAAACTAATATTCTTGTTACATGAAGTGTAAATACTTTAAAATAATCAAATTATATAAAAATTTAGTTAAATTTATGCAAACATAAATATTCAATTTACACTGATAAATCAAAATTTTAATAGTAGTAATTTTTTTTTTATATTGATTTCTGTCAATCTTAATTTCCTAAATGATATGAGAACAATTACAATAATCAGAGGTATGTCATCTTGCAAGATAAAATTTGATAAAAAAGAAAAGAAGGAAAAATAACATTTTTGTACCTTAAAGAACAAAATCCTAATGTAATTTTATTCACTCTAAATATATTTTTGTAAATTTTTGTTCATCATCCAAATACTTAAAAATCATTATTATTTATATCAATATCATTAATAGTCAATATATTTTAAATTAGATTTCATACTATTCCTATTGAGAAACAACAGAAAACAAGACGTTTTCTACAAAAACTAATATCAGAAATATTGTCATAGCCCATAATTATTTTTAATGTAAATATTAAATTTAATATTTTATTTTAAAAGTAAATTCAATTAATATTATTCAACAGAAATTTTAAATTACTTCTTAAATATATCTTATGTAAATGCTAAACAAATATTCAACATTTTCAGATATTTGAATTTTACCTTTATTACAGCCTCGCCTCTAAGTAAATGACAAAGAATAGCTAGCATTGATTCAGACATCCTATCTCCATACATTTTCAGTGGTTTTCTATCCCATAAATGCATTATTGCTTCAAAAGCCAACTAAACAAAAAATAAAAATTATTTTAACATTTAAGTACTATTATAAATAGAAATTTTAAAATTTACTTGCCTTATGTGTTCTAATTAGATAATGAACAGGATTGAAATTTACAAATCCAACTTGATTAGACTTAGTTGGTAATGTATGAGGAGATTCAAGAACTGTTTTTGGATTGACCATTTTTTCTAATAACATTAACCAAGCATCAAGAAATTCTCCTGTGCCATCTATTCAAATTAAATATATACTATTATTGTAAATTTAGAAATAAATATTACACATTTTTATTTAATGAATAAAAATTATTGGATTATAAATTCAACTTAATCAATAACAGCTAACAAAATCAAGTATTAAATAGCTAATTATTTATGGTACTCAAAATACTCCTATTATAATTGTAATTCCAGCCAAATACACTCTTTGGCAGCAAGAATTCTTATTAACACAAACAAAGCAGACACAAATAACTCATGTTCTAAGAATTTGGAATGACTGAAAAAGCTCAGAAGGTTACAGTCTTGCACCAAAATATAAATGCTTTATCTTTTTGTTTAGGCAATAAAAATAAAAGAAGTTTACATTACACAAATCTTGTTTTTCTCACACAAGATAATTTTTTAGCCTTATATTTATATATGTAAATATTTTAATAGTCTCTTGTGTCTTTTTATTTTAAAATTAATTATTCTAAAGCTTCCAAGTACTTTCCTATTGGTGCAACTTAATTCAATGGGTCAAATAAAATGTGAAACAAGCACAAGTTCAAAACCCAAAACCTAACACAAGGATATCACAAAATGAAGAAAGTGCTGAAATTCTTCTCTTTTAACAGTTAGCAAATCAACAGCATATTCACAAAATAATAAACATTTTTTAAAAAAATATTAATCAAACAAGGTTTTTTTTCTACACAAAAGTTCAGAAATACAATGTGCACTATGTGAAATTTGCCACAACTCTGTGTTGGTGTAAAAACTGCACTGCCAAAATTCTATATTACATGAGTACTATCTGTATATATTAAATTTGAAATGTCTAAATATTCAATATATTTATTTATTAAAAATGTTAAAATGTAACTCTCCTAAAAATCAATCAGGTATAAATGTGTTTGCATTTTCTGAACTCCCAGAAATATGAATATTCTTGTAATCCTTTACAATTATTGTGTTGAATTTTTTTTATAAACAGTAATACTGTTTCTATGTTGGAAAATAAATGTTAAACTTTGCAGACATAAACCAATACAATTATTATTAAACAAATATTTTCTTCAAATGTAATCTAATATAATTTTCTTTCAATATACTTTACCATTTTAAAATAACATGAACCTATACACACATTAACTACTAAAAGTTCATTTAATGAAAATGTAAACAAACTTTCTTGTTTGTATTTGTCATTTTAAATTTATTCAATAACCTCTATTATTTGTTGGAACTACCAATATGAAAACTTGTTCAAATTATTTAACAAATTATAAATTTCTATTCCATTGCAAATGAAAAAAAATTTATTACATAGATTTACAATTAGACTATTAAATTCAAGAATGCTAAATTTATATATAAATTTCTTTCAAACAATCTAAATGCATTTTTCTTATTGATGATTACAGTAATAATACGACACCACTGTCAAAAAATCTTTGATAAAATTTTATATCATTATAATAAATAGAAAAGTTCATCTAATTATTAATACATTGTTTCATTTTACAAAATATTTTATATAAAAATTAAAACTTTATAATTACCTGGTAAATTAGGGTGTTCCAGACCATGTTCAATTGGTACTGTTCCACCAGCTGTTAATGCCCATCGAAATGTTCTGAAATGACAAAAAAATTTTTTAACAACTGGTAAATAACCATTTTTAAATATGTTAGATTAGAATACTACATATAAAGGGCACGTTTGTAAAGTCAAACAAGTTAAACGAGAATGACATCATCGTTATTCTTATTTTGTTAGACTTTTCAACTGATTTGTTTCTAACTAAATGGCTATTTCTAAAATCGAAGATATGAATGTTGCTAGTGCAGCCTTATCTGAAACATTTTTCTTAGATTGCTACGGGTGGACAGTTATTTCTATCATTTCACCTTTTAATTCACAGTTTAAACATTCGAGTAGATTTAGAAACATCTATATCATCGGGCACCATTTTCTTAATGAAGTTAACTAACTCTTTCCTTCATGAACTTTGTTAGAGTTTCGTTTGAAACGTCATCACCACAGAGCATGTGCACTGAGTGAGACTACAGTACAGCGTCGTTTATCCAAAAGCTGGTTATCCGAAACATCCGTTATCTGAAAGCATTCCAGTCGGCAAATTTAAATTTTCGCTAGTGCTGTGGCGCTGCAATCTTCAGCTATTTCTCGGGCTACTCAAATATTTTACATTTTTGATACTAAATTAACTTCTGAAGTATAATTTTTGTTATTTTTATATTTTTCAATAAATTTATTTTGTTTGTACAAAATAAAAAAATAATTTTTAATGATACAATAGTCTTTGTTAGGCTTAACATTGACGAAAATTCAACGCGAAGCGACACGCAATGGAGAGAAATTTCAACATGGGATAAATTAATAAATTTTTTCATACACAATTCGTTATCCAAAAAATAAGTTATCCGAACCACCCCAGTCCCCAATTGATTCGGATAAACGACGCTCTACTGTATTACTTTTCGAACAATTCGTTACTAATGCGTTTAACTTGTTCGATTTTATGAACATACCCAAAATATCACATCCTCTAGAACAGTGATGAGCAAACTTTTCTGATCGCACATCGTAAGTGAATTTTGTAGGCTTAAAACGAGCTGCAAACATTTTTTTCTTGTAAAGATGCAGGCTTTAAGCATGCTGAACACTAAGATACTCTGTTAATTGCCGTATACTAAATACTAAAACAATATATGCTAATCATATGCAAACTAGTAATATATAGTTTATTCTTATCTTATGCTAATTTAGTTCAAATGTTCAAATATCAGCTTAATTAGGGTTGCCTAATAGCACTGGGCAAAAACAAAAATAAAATCGATGATGAAACCAGGGGCTTCATGTTAGGACATTATGTGCCACAGATTGCTCATAACTGCTCTACAATTCATTCAATAAACAATTCCTTTTGCAATGACTTCAAAAATATGTATTATTTTAAATAAGCTAGGCAAAAATGTCAAAGATTACTGAATCACTCAGTAAAATAATTTTACTATTACATCCAATACATCAGCTTATTCATAACTATAATTTACATTCTACACCAAACTTATTAAAATTTTGTAAATTTCAACTATATTTTTTTAAAGTTTCATACTATTCATATTTTTACTCTTTTATTGTATTTATTAAATTAATTTTTATAGTTTGTAAAAAAAATAAATCATGTTTCTTTAAAAAATTTCACACATTTTTTTCTTTAGAATTAAATTTATCATCCTAATAAAAAGTTTCCAGTCTCAAAATCTATTTTGTAATGTTCACTTGTATTGATGATGATGCAATTAACACAAAGTTGTAGAAAAAATGTCATCCAAGTAAACATTTTACACAAATTGTTTTAAAAAAGAATTTGCCATTACAAATAACAAAAAAAATCTGCTGGGTGAGGAAGTCTTATTGAATTAAGAATTTTATTTCAGTCTGAGTACATTCATATTGAATAGACTATTTAAAATTGTAAATTCAAAAATAACAGAAATTTTAAATTTAAAGTTAGTGACAAGATTTTAAGTTCTTTAATTACACTGTGTTAAATAAAAACAAAAGCATACATACTCAAAAAATGCATTTTGCCCACCACTAGAAACAAATTTCTGCAGCATCAAATGATAAGGAAATTTTCTCTCATCAAACAACATTGGAGAAGTAAATCCAACTGAACATATATAAAAAGTCAATCTACAAAAATAAATTATTAAACCATAAAAGTTTATTTTTCATTAGCAAAAAAAAAACTAACGTCTTATGCAATTGCAAACACTAACCTAAATTTTGGTAAAGGTGAAGTTGCAGGAGGTTCCCACGAAAGACCCGATGCTAATAAACTAGTGAGAGCAGATGCTACTTCACGAGCTGCAGGACTTGGGACTGTTGGCGATGGAGAAATTTGTTGTCCTCGTCGTTGGCGTACTGGAGATCCAACACACAACTAAAACATTTAAATAATTTAAAACTTAAAAATTATGACACTTAAAATTTTATTAAAGCAAATTATTTTTGAAACATTTTAAGTCTTCATATATATATATTTATATTTATTCATATAAGATTCATATGATTTATGTGAGAGTCCAAAAGTTAATTAAAATTAATATGCAATTAATTGAGAAAGTGGAAAACCCCCAGTTTTTCCCACCCCACTCATATTTCAGTCATATGCAGATCTGAGAGATAAACAGAGGATCAAATTTCATCACAAATCAACAATCTTTACTATGTATTGACTTTTTCTGGGAATAAATCCAAACATCTAATTATTAATGACAGGAAACTGTCAAAACAGATGAAATTATAAGATAAGATTAGTAAGTATCAATAATGCGGCCGAATCGTCCAGTTCTTAACAGCTTGTATCTGCCAAACCAGGACATGACTCAAACTTAGACCACATTAATTCGAAGTCACCTGACTTTTCTCCCATACTCAATGGAGGATAAAAAGGGCTCAAACTCAAGCCTCGGGGCAGACATACCAGGAAGGCCATAGCTTTATGGAGCCAAAAACAAGGCTGGTTTGTCATGTTCCTGGATCCATAAAAGATCACCAACAAATACACCTCAACGGATGTAGAAGACATCCTCACTCTCTTTCAGAGGTATTATGTTAGAATGTTTGTAATAAGGACATAGCCTGTAAGGACATAGATATAAGGTTTTATTTTAGTCCATGAACCTAGCATCAAATGTTATGTTGCATATAGCTGTCTTTAATCATGTATGCTTCAAATTAGTTTATTAATTGTTATTTTTGTTGTTTAACCTGCTCTCGTGTGGACTTATTAGGCGCCAACACTATCAACAGACATATCACCCCTCTGTCACATGGATCAACCATCCAGTGACAAAGTGAGCAGTCTTCACCAGACCATCGCCGATCCAAAGGGGGTTTAAACCAGTATCCACCAATCCTCTAACTTCTCAATATATATATGTATCATATGAATCTTTATTTTTTAAAATTCATTCTGCCCTGTGAGCCTAAAAAGGGTCTTTTTAGCAAGACCATTATGGGTTCAGCCAGATTTACAATGGAGTGGCCAAATAGTGATAAATACTCCAAAAAATTCCTGGGTGTTTTACCTGTCTGGATTCAATCTCAGGACACCCAGAAAAGTAGGCTGCCATCTTAACTACTTGGCCAATGAGCCAATCATAGAAATCGAAAAATTTGTATTTTGTATTCATAGCTATTAAAATCATTTTTCATAAAAGGTTTAACAACTAATTTAGTAATTTGAAAGATCAAACTATTTGAATTTATTTACTAATTTTAATTCATGAAAAATGAATTATAAAATAATTCAGAATAATAATAAAATTATGAAAGTAAGTAATAACAGTCAAAGTAATGAGATGTAAATTATTAAAACATTTAATTCTTTGAAGCCAACTATCACTGCTTAGAAGAAATTTAAGATTATTAAGATAAATTGGTAGTAACTGATTTAATTAACAACCGAAATATACAAACGACGAGAATGAATTACTTTATTTCTATAAAAATCTTTTATACATGAATGCAAATTAAGTATATTTTACTATGTAAAAATTGTTAACATTTTAAAATTACTACTAACCTTTACAAGAAGACCAAATAACTCCGCAAGAGCACGCCCTAATCTTGAAGCACCAGACAAGAGAGGCTTTATTTGTTTAATTTGTGCTTGTAATTGAGATGATTTCCCTTTAGGCTTCTCAGCTGCGCTAGAATTACTCTCTGTATCATCTATTTCCATTACTGATGTACTACCATTAGTACTTAATGCTTCCATTGCAGATGTGACTTCAATTGAACCAATATCACTTGTAGAGGTAGTTCCATTCATTTCACTTTCTTGTTTTTCATTCTTAAATAGAAACAGTAAAAGTTAGAACTAAACATAATTTATTTAGCAATTAGAAGAAATGCAAAACATCAAGAGTCCAGAGAAATTCTACTATGAAATGTTACATTTGTTTCAAATAAATTTATTTACTTTACATTTGTGAATCAAATTTACATTTACATTATATAAGTGACATCTGACAAACCTTATCAGTTATCAATGTACAAGTAACCAAAAAATTTTTATTTAAAATATTTTCAACTACTTAAAACATTCAGAATTATAGTAAATTAATCACTCCAAAAATGAGTGATAAATCATTACTAATCATTAAACTGACTTTGCTATTTAAACTAGGGAGAATTAAATCATTTTTACAGCTATGATAGAAATGAACAAAAAATATTTCAAGAACATATAACATGTGTGTGTCATTGTTATTTTCAATTCAAAATAATTTAAAAAATACTTTAAATATGATACATTAAAAAGTGACTGTAAAAAATTGTTACATTTAAAGTACTTTCCATAAAGTTAAAATGATACTAATTTACTATTTCTGTAAAGAATCTAGATAGATTTAACTTTTATCACAGTCAATTATAATCTTTTGTAAAGAATCTGTTAAATTGTATTGAGATAAAAATTGATACTTAAGCTTCAATTATTAGATTTTAACATATCTTTTCAAAGTATCAATTTTAAGAAATTTCAAGGATAACATTTTTCAATATTAATTTTATACTCACTGCTGAACTTAATAAAATTAAATTTTTAAAATCAGATTATGTATTTTATGAAAACTGAACAAGTAATTATTTTTTGTTTCAGATTTTTATAATTTATTAGGGAATGACAACTAATGTTAGTTTTAATTAATGAATATATAATTATCCATAATTTTTCTAAAGTATGCATTAATTCAAAAATAATGAATTTCCATTAATGAAAAATGTCTAAATAATTCAAATTTAATGAATTTGAATTAACTGAAATTGTAATACTGTGACTATATAATTAGCTATTTTAATTGCAACTGTGATTTTTCAAAAATATGATAATTGAATGATTCCAAAAGTAAGGAGAACAATTTTTGCAAATTTTACAAAAATATTTTTCAGACTACAGAACAATTTATTCAGAAATGTACTCTAATTCTTTCCATCCTGCAGAAATTAAGATACTTTTTAAAATTTTATGTTATTTCCAATATTCTATTATTTATATATATTCTATTATTTCAAGACTACAGTGGTACCTCAGGATACGAAATTAATCCGTTCCGAAACTGAGATCGTATCATGAAAATGTCGTAAGGTGGATCATCTTTTCCCATACGATTACATGTAAAACCAAATAATTCGTTCCAACGCGAAAAACATACTCAAATTAAAGCCAAGTAATACATTAAAAAAAATAACTGTAGTAAGAAAAACAAATGAAAAATGTGAACTAATGTAATGTCATATGGCGAGTTTTTGTTCGTATCGTGGAGCAAAAATATGTTCGAATTTCATGTCGTATCCTGAAAATTTCGTATGCTGGGGCGTTCGTAACCTGAGGTACCACTGTATGTACTATTAATAAATTAATATGTATAAAACTCATGTACTATTAATCAATTACAAAACTGAACTCAATTTCTTAAACTGTTATTTTAAACAATTGCATAACAAAATATTGAACGAACTAACCTTTAAAGGATCCTTTGGTAAAAGACTCTCTAACTGATGACGGCCAAACTGACAACCAGCAGGTAAAGTGTTTTCACTGCATAATGCTAAAAGTACAGTGCTTTCCCAGACTAGAGATGTGTACAATCTACTTAATCCTCTAAGTACACTTAAACCAAGTTCAGAACCCCAGTGACTAATAGAGATAGTTCTAATATCACTCTGTAATAAAAATGTGTTATCAATTTAAATTATAACATATAAACATAAAAAAGAGTAAATATAAAAGAATTCAAACTGAAAAAATTTAATTATGTTAATTTGTTTATTAAGTAATTTTTCTGATAACATTTCCTACTGATTTTAACAGTGATTTGTAGGTTTAAGATTTCACTCAAAAGTTATTAAATACTAATATGTATACTTCCAAAATTGCAAGTTATATAAGGCAATATATATTAAATGAATCAGAAATAATCACTATATTTCTAAAGATAATTTAATAACTTTCATAATTTCAGTATTAAACTTAAAAGTTTAATACTGAAATTACTAATTAATTAATTGTTTTGGAATTACTATTAAATACTATTTAATAAATAAATAAATGTTATTTTTTATTTTTTGGCTAATGTAATATAGTAATATTAATTATATACTTATAAAAAAAAGTTAAAAAGTATCTATTCAGATAATAGAGGGGTTGCGGCACAAGTTCAAACGTTACTTGTACATGGCAAGCAGAAGTACACTGTTTATGTTTTAACTCCAAGAAAAAATTGTTGCGGCGTACGTTCACAACATCACGTGACTCAGTGAACGTCACGTATTGACTCATAGGAAATTTGTTGAAAAAAATGGCGGATACATTTAACATTGAGGGTTACCAGCAAAGGTAAATAAACAAATTAAACTATTTTAAAGTATTTATAGAATGTTTAATAACACTTATAATTATTTTTAATTAGCATGTGTCTCCTACCATACAATCAAATGATAGGACTACCTCATACTTTTGTCAAGGGAAGTAGTGGCTTATGTAAATTCAAAGGCAGCTCGAAAAATTTATTTTTAGAAAATTTACAAATGTATTATGCTGTTGATGGTAGAAGATGCCATGGAAGAACAAACCTACCTTAAGATAAGCTATTATGAAGGCAAATATATGTAAATTCTAAATCACTTGCTAAAAAATTGAATAATTAAATAATTTCTGGATTAAAATTGTCTGTTTCTTTACATTATTATTTGTAACTACTTAAATAATCAATTTTAATAAAATAGTCATAATTTTAACCCCAAACACAAAAAAATAAAGAAGTTTAAGCCGATTGTCTACTCGCCATGCTAGATGTAACGACCGCTATTATCGACCGTCCAGAATTACCAGATGGCGGTGCTCGGCGGTCTGGCGTTCACGTTTTGGGCTGAATATGACGGCCGCAACCTCTCAATTATTAAAACTTTGATAATATTTTCATTACAGTGATTTTATATTAGCATGTTTCACAGGTTTTCTTTTTTCAGTACCAAGTTTATGGACAGTATTTTTTTTTTTCATTTATAATTATTTATAGAACTTTTATTGCTTCATAGATAAGTTCAGAAGTAATAAAAACTTATTTTGAAACACGTTTCCTGTGAACAATGCCAATTTTGTCAATTTACTATGATGTTAACATAATTACATACATTTAAAAACATATTTTGTAAAATACCTCAAATTCTTTCAAGATCACTTATCTCATCTAGCTTTGAATACATACAGAACTCAATTAAGAAGTCTTTCAAGGGACAAATTTTTAAAAATTCTTATGTCTGCAACTTCTTTAAGCAAAAATGAAAATATAACTTTTCATTCAAAATTCCAAATTTATTTAACAATTTTTCACTACATTACAGTGAATTAGGCTTATACTCTATCTATTCATTTAGATATTTGTCTACGGTACTTCTTTGTATGTTCTGTTACGTAAAATAAGAACACATTTTGATTCCCACAGAAAAAAAAAACAGTGCTACAGTATATCGTAATAAAATTCATTAAAAACTTACAGTATAACTCACAAACTGATTGCATTTTTCAGAACTTGCTGTTGGTTGCAGATAACTATGTAAAAAAAACTTGTAAAATCCATGTTCTCAGTAGCCCAAAGTTACACACAAGATAACAAAATTTTGTGTATTTCCCGATTTATTATTTTGATCCATATGCAATTAAATGTGTAACATTTTCAACAGCAAGCAATTGAAAAAATTCAGTGAGTCAATTTTCCAGTCATAAACAACAATTTCACTCTACTCAAATATTTTATACAAAAGAAGTTTACATCTCCCTAATGGGAAGAAGATTGAAACTTTTAAAATTAAACTTCTTACATGAGTAAACTTCTAATGCAGGAACTTCTTAACCAAGTTCTAGTATAATATATTATATATTCAGTATTATTTTATAACTATTTCAATAAATAATTATGCATTATTTATTCAAGATAATACACAGTGGTTATAAATTATTGATTACATTTCAGGAAGGAATAAAAAATAACACACAAGCATAGTGACAACTGATTTGTTTCAGATGATACTGTAGCTGTAAAAGTTTGGGCTATCCTCACGATGTAGGTGACAAATTAGGTGGTGATGTAAAATTAGGGAACCTTCTTTTCCAAGCATACAGTGACTAGCATGACATATCACAAATTGAATACCACAACTGAATGTTTACTTCCACCAAGAAGGGCACCTCTACAAGGGGTTTAATTTTTCAGGACAACCTACAGGAAAAATTTCCTGAATATTGAATTAGCTGCAAGGGAACCAAATTTTTTGGCCACCTTGATTCACCAACATTGCACCATTGATTTCTTTCTTTGGGGTTTGTCAAAGACAGGGTGTAAACACAACACAGATTTGTGACATTGAAGAACTGAAAAGTCAAATTGGTGAAGTCAGTGGAGGAGTAACTGCTGAAGTGCTCTAACACATGATGCAAAATTAAATGCCACCTGGGTATTTTGTGCACCACACATGACTAAATAAATTCTAGGAGAGTTCTGTGGGTAAAGTGTAAAATATTTTATTTACTGGCCTATTAAATAAAACAGCATACATATGCATACTTTACTGTGTTCTCTTTTTATTCCTCCCCAAAATGTGCTCAATAATTTATAACCACCCTGTACATTAATTTACTTAACACACTTAATTTTCAGTAACTGACATCATTAGATTATAGTTTCAACATTACAAAAAACTTTATGAATCAGTGAGGAGCAATCTTTTCTGGATGCACGCCACAGTGAACTCCATATGATAAAATAAATTTGTTTTTTATTGAGTTCCAAGTTTCAATCATGCTGAGTGCCAATATACTTTAACTGCAAGTATGCTAGGTACTAAAATAATATTGGGTTGGCAACTAAGTAATTGCGGATTTTAAATAAGAAGGAAAATTCAAAATTTTTGCTTAAAAATATAACTTTATTCAATTAGGTATTGTCTGTTTTTGTCAATGACCTTTTGCCATCTTTCAGGCAGTGTCATAATTCCATGTTCATAAAACTTAGTTTTTTGCTGGCAAAAATCAGGAATAAAAATTGATTTTACATCATCAGCGTCATTAAAAATTTTACCATTTAAGGAGTTCTGCATGGAACAAAATAAATGATAATCTGAAGGTGCAAGGTCAAGGCTATACAGTGGATGTGACAACACAACCCAACCTAGCTCCAATAATTTTTGGCGAGTGACCAAAGATGTGTGGGGTTTTGCATTATCATGCTGGAAAACAACGCCCTTACAATTTACCAATTGTGGCCTCTTTTCTTCAACTGCATCACTCAGTTTGGCAAGTTGTTGAACGTACACGTTTGAATTAATCATTTGGTTTCTTGGTAAAAGTTCAAAATACAGAATTCCTTTATAATCCCACCAAACTGACAGCATAATCTTTTTTTGGTGAATCTCAGTTTTTGGTGTCGTCTGGGCTGGTTCATCTTGCATCACCCACGATCTTTTCCGATTAACGTTGTTATAAACTATCCACTTTTCGTTGCCAGTAATCAGTCGTTTCAGAAATGGATCATTTTTGTTGCGTTTCAGAAGCGAATTGCAGATGCTACTGCGTTGCATCAAATGAATTTCCTTAAACTGATGAGGGACCAATAAATCCAGTTTCTTGACATAGCCAAGCTGTTTTAATTTTTTTTTTATGCATGTATGCGATACATTGAGCTTCTGCGCAATCTCACGCGTTGTGCTATGACGATCTGAATTGATAATAACCTTGATATGGGTCTCACCAACTTCAACTGGATGGCTAGATTGTTGAGCATTTTTCAGTGAAAAATCACCAAAACAAAATTTGGCAAACCAATTTTGACACTGCCTTTCTTTCAAGACTTCATTCCCACATACGGCACATAACTTCTTGTGTGCTTGTGATGCATTCTTGCCTTTTCGGAAATAATACAATAAAATATGTCTGAAATGCACGTCTTGTTCTTCCATTTTTAAATTGGAATAAAAACGAAACAAAATAACTAATCAATACAATTTTTTTACTAAATTAAAGGTGAAAGTCCAAACAACAAGAAAACAATATACGTTAGGTGCTTTGAACATGATGACAAAGCAAAAAAATGTGCTAAGGCCACCTATGGACAAAATCTGCAATCACTTAGTTGCCAACCCAATATATGTTAATGATATACAAACTAATAATATTTAGATTTATTCTCATCTTATATTAATTTAGTTTGAATGTTTATCATCACAAATATCAGCTTACATAGGATTGTATAATGGCACAAGGCAGAAAACAACAATAATAAAATTATATTGCCAATGCCTAGGGCAGCATATTAAGACTTCATGGGTCACATGAAGCAAACAGACTGTCATTGTTGTTATGATTGTTTTCTATTTAAATGCTTATACTGAGTTTGCTAAAAAGTTTGTGCAGATTTTAAATTTATAAATAGAAGGCAATTTTTTTATGGAACAAAATATCTACTCAACAATGCAATTTCCCACACTAAATAATGCAGATTGTCATCAATTACACTTTTCACTTAATCATTATAAATTTCCTGAAGTCAACAAAAACAAAAAATCCCTTAATAAAATTTCATAAACCATTTCAAGTACAAGAGTTCTTTGTTGGCATTCTCCATATATACCATGCCTAACTCTTTACAGGTTTAAACTGTGCTGTAGTTTTTTCTTTTTTGAAATAAAACAGCATGTCAAAAATGCTTCTTTTAGATGTCCACTTTTTAATTATGCCAAAATTATAACACAAACACAATCTTCAAACTCTCTGGTTCAAATTATGATTAAATGTTATGTATCAAATATTCAAGTGCTTTCAGATTTGAACTGTAGTTAGTTGTATTTCAAAGCACCTGAAAGACAACTATTGCAAAAGAACTTTTTGGCCAATCTAATATATTAGAAAGAATTCAAAACTGCTTCTTACTATATATAATCACATTTTATATTTTCTAAGTAAAATTATGCCCTCAATACATTTTTAAGCATGAAATTATAAAAATAATGCATAATGGTGCTTCTTTAAACAATGTAATATTGAACACCAATATCCAAAATGTAATGTATAAAGCTGTGTACAAACTTTAATCATTAGTATTAGTTTGACAAAAATAATACCAATAATTTTTTTTAAATGTTTAAGCTTTAAAAAACAAAAAAATTAAGTAGAAAAACCAATCTAAGTTTATAAATATAAATTATGAAATGAAAAATTAACCTCCTGCTCAGTCATTGCCACTTCCCTTATGTACATGTGCACTGATTGCTTTGAATTTCATATTTGATGTGAAAAATGCTATAGAAATTTTTATTTTTAACATTTGATGTATTCATTGTTTATATATGTTTACTTCACTATTTCTCCAATAGAAAGCATTATGTAACAAATTATTTAGCTGCTTTTGGCAAAATAATTTAGTTTCATTTTGGAATCTGAAAACATCTCTAATTTATTTCTGAGAGTTTTCCTTTCAAACAAATTAGTTTGAGAGGTTATAATTTTATAAATTAATAATGGGTATCAATGATATTGACAATTTTATACAAATTTGAGTTACTAACAAATCATTTTCCAAAAATACTAAAAACGAAAAATTCATTTTACTCTTAGAAAAGACATGTAAAAGCAATTTTTTCGAAGATTTTTCATCAAAATTAATTGTATTTAAAATATAATTTTAAAAAATATTGATACTTTTTGGACAATCAACTTAAAAACGAAGACTGAGAAGAGGTTAAAAGTTCATTTTAACAATAATGATCCTAAAATCATTTTTTACTATTTTTGTTTTAATAAACTCACTTGTCCAGTTCTGCACACATGAACAAACATAATTATGTATGCATGTGCAGAAGCCATGGCATGTAATAATGGTGTAGACTGGGCACTCAATGTTGCTTCACTTGGATTTGATGAACTGATTAATTCTTCTAAAAGAACACTACCACCTGGAGGATCCAATGGTCGATGCAATGGTTCCAAAGACTGAAGAACTTCATTGAGATGCAATAATCCTTGTTTGAGCACTTGAGGTTCATGTGCTAAATTCTATCACAGGCATTTTATTATAATAAAAATAAGTAAAAAATTTTATTGTCATCATTTTTTTAAAACTTACCAAAATAGATTTGCATACACTAGCAACAGCTTGACAAGTTGGTGTAATTGGAAAATCTATAGGTAAATTTGGTAATCCAAGTATTCCCATTAAAGGCACTAAACCTTTCTGTCTAACAAATTCACGACAGTGATCATCTGTTGAATTATTACTTAAAATGGCATCAACAAATCGCATCTGTAAATATAATATTGCTTGAAACATTCAAGTAATAATAAACAAATTATTGTAAAAACAAATAAATTTGTTAGCATTTTTGTATCTATCTATTTTATGAATACAGTAGTCTTGAAAACTCGGCCTAATGTGGATCGAAGGGTGGCAGAGTTTGTGAAAATGCCAGGTTATTGGGAATGGGGTTAAAAAAAATAAGTATTAGTGTTTCCTCAGAAAATACTGTACTGTACTTTTATGTATTGTTTGCTTGAGAATACAACAGAATAAACTGCCCAAATACCCTTAAACAAAAGAAAAGTACGTACTTTATGAAGGCATAGAGCCTTTACTACATGAAAATGAAAATTAATGAATACACTGTGTACAGTAATTTACCTGATAAGACAGACCTCAGAGAAATACTTTGAGGCATAAAGCTGTCTATAATGAAAATTAATTAACTAAGGATTTTTTTGCCCTGCCAGGGTATGGCCGAGTTATCCAGACTGCCGGGTTATCGAGTGCCGAGTTTGAGACTCTACTGTACTATGATAATTATGAATTTAGAATAATATTGACTATTTTTCTGTATTTATCTTTGAACATTTTTAACTGAAAACAAAGGAAAAAATTCAATTACTCAAAATTCATGTAAACTATATTAGAAACAAAAGGAACTCAAAAATATTTTGAATAAGAAAAGCAAATGAATTAAAATTTCCCCAAAAGTTTAATCTTTCATGAATTTTAATAAAATATAATTGAAGACAATATCTAGTTCAAGTAGTGTGTGTCATACATAGCATCCTGTTTAACATCAGAAATCTATTCCCAAAAGTCAGACATTCTGCAGGAAAACATTAGATGAGTGTGTCTATTTCCCATTATTTTAAGTAATAAAAATTATAATGCATTACAATGTCAACCCAAAAATTTCAACTAATTTCTGAAAACGTAACTAAAATCCAAGACAATACTTATATATGAGATAGAAACTATCATTTTAGAACAGAAAATGTTTAATTCACCTGATCCTCAACAGTTAATATAGTTAACAAAATTGCTTAGTATACAGCAACATATCATATCTGCATACCAAACCACAAACATTGCATTTATGATATGTCATGGCAAATAGTATACATCAATATAGATTTGTTCTCTAAAAATTCTGATAAAAAGAAGGAATAAATTGCAACATATTCATAACAATATTTCTGACACATCTGTAAAGTGCAGAATTGACTGATTATATTGACCAGAATTAATCAATATGATCAGACAATTTTGCAATTTACACAGTAATGTCACAAAATCATGTCAGAACCATTCTGCTTTAAAAGGTGTGGTATTAATATTTGTGATGTGATGCTAGAAGCACCTTGTATTAAAAAATGCATACCCCATTTGTTGACACAGTACTTTACTACATTCTGACCTACTGTTTTGCAATGTTTAATATGTTGGCCATTGTACAGGACCAAAAACTGCAACTCACACCACCATATTTCCTTTATCAATGTGTGTAGGATTATTTTATTACTAAAATTTTTCCCTATGATCTGGAAAATATTCATATGAAGTTCAAAAAAATTTTACTCACTAATTCCCTCAGCAGACTTTTCTAAACAGGGATACTTTAATACAGTGTTTCTATGCTATGCCCCACCTAAGCTTTTCTAAAATTCTTATGCCCCCCTAATATACAGCTATATGGTTAACTTAAACTCTGGACGAGTCCATTTTCGAATTTCCCCCCTTAACAATACAATTGCCCCCCCTGTGGGGCATGGGTCCCACGTTAGAAAACAGTGCTTTAATATTAATAACAATGCTATGATAGAATGCATCTACAGATATTAAATCTGATAATTTAAGTATCTCTTTAAACTTCATAACATAATTACATAAAATTGACAAAAGTTGAAAAGTGATAGAAAGATAGGAAGTATTTATCCAAAACTCAGATTTCAACAACAGTATTATTTTCTGTACAAAGAAAAAGCACTTAAGTGTTGTCATGTTTTGGCATTATTGCTATTTTTAAGGCATTTATTTATTTTACAGTCAAATAACACAAAGTATATTATTAATTTTAACATTTTCTGTCGAACTGAAGCAAGCAACAGTTAATCTTACGTGATTTAATCTTAAATTAAAAAAAAAAAAACAACTGAACAGAGAAATACTACCAATTTTACATCTGTAATCACTTATTCACTTATTGCTAATATAATGCAACTGAAAGAAGTAATAAAAATTTTAATGGCATTAAAATATTTATAACATTTAAGTTTTTCCAATTTTCGTTAAAATCAAAATTTTTTATATAACTAATAAAGCATTTTATTTGAAATTAAATACTTTACCACATTTAAAATATAATCAACAAGAGGTATTGGTGTTTTCATATCTGTTCCAAGAAGTTCAGGTACTGTTGGTTTCTCAGTTCCAGATTTTAATAAACTTGAAACTGGATTACCACCAGTCTCATCATCATCATCATCATCCTCATCTGATGAACCAGTATCAGTACTAACATTACTGTTTCGTGTGCTAATACTTGTTGTATTATCATTTTTTGGTGCAGGCCTAGAACATATATACTTTGGATCTCTACCCATAGCACAAAGTTCTTCTAAAAGCTTAAAAGAAAAATAATTTTATAAAATTTAATCAACTTTGAAATAATTGGATAAATCATATAAAGAATTATTATTATTAATATATAAAATATTAGTAACAAAATCGTTATTGCATTTCTGATTTCACAAACACAAATATAATAATAATAAAACAAATTATATTCAAGATAATACATGCTCAACAATAACATAAATGCAAAAATTTTTAAATCATATTAAAGCAAATTAAGCAATAGATGTAAACTATATCTTCTTAAAGATAATAAACTGCCTAAATTTAACACCAATAATTTGAAAATACCAAAATTTAAATTATCTATGTCATTTTATCTTATTATGCTAACATATAATAATACATGTAGTAAAACAATAATTATTCACTGATAATTTATAACACAATTGTGAATTATGCAGATATTTTTCTCACAAGGGGACACCCACCAGTTTGTAATTGGCATTTTCAAAGAAATTTTGTAGGTATGCTTTATTTACTTGTACTTATACTCTACTAAAGTTGCAAGATCCACTATTCAGACATTCTTGTATAGGTATTAATGTAACCATTAATACCTATACAAAAAAATCATCCATAAATTCACAGCATAGCATTATTAGTTGAAGTGTCACATGAAGTACTTTTTGGAAAGCTTGTACATGAATTGTTTCTCCGTTTACAAGAAAGAGATGAAAAATTTTGTCTGCAGTATAAAAGCAAGTTGATGTTCTTGTGCCCAAATTTGAAAATGTCATTGTCAAATACTCAATATGTAGTAATCAAAATTTTGTTTCAATTAAGGAATCATTAGTACAATCACATGCAAAAATTGATAAGTTTTTATTGATGATAATCACAGGGGTAGTCAAACAAATTCTCAAATATATGACAAGGCTTTTTTAAATGACAAAGATATTCCAATTATCAATTAAAAATTGCCATGCCAAAATGTACTCCTCTTTGTTAACCTCATAATGTTTAGATAAGTTAAAAATTTTACCAAAACATTAAAAAATTGCAGCACTCCCCTTAAAACCAATAGAGAAATATCTAATCAAGAAGAATTCATTAAAATACAATATCTAATTCACAACCAGATGAGTGCACCAGATTTTTGTGGCATGCAAATCATGCATGTTTTAAAATCTCAAACAACATACAAAAGAATTTCAAAAATGTGAATAAAGTTTGATTTTTACCCTCTGTTTTTAAAACTAAACATAAAAACTGTGTAAATTGCATAGCAATGATTGTAAGTGCACAGTGAAACAAATCATTATGTTTTAACTGTTATGATAAATACCACCCATTAATCTGTCAAACAAGAGAAATCAAAAAGGAGTGAGAATGGGTTCATTATTCATTATGAAATACATTAGGCAGGGTACAGGTTAGTATGGCCTTTATCAAAGTAGTTCCTATTGAGTTGTATGCATTTGGACCAACAGTCTTAGAAGACATGCTGAAACCCATATTTTGACTTCAGAACAGCCACTGATGAAACAAAACACTGGCCCCACAAGCTCCAAATTAAGATGAGGGAAAAGAAAAATGGAGCAAGATCCAGAAGAAAAGAGGATTTGGCACACACAATGTTTAATGGTTTCATACATATTTTGCCAATGTCAAAGAAAACTAAGATTGTTAAAGTCTTTGGGAAAGATAATGGTAATTTCCTTCTTTGACTACTGTGGAATGGCTTACCAACATGAAGTATCATTACATACCAACAGTTACTAGTCAGTATCACACAACAGTTTTGAAGACCCTTGCCAAACACATCTAACGAAAAAGCAGAGCTGCATCCATCTGGTTGATGCCTAGACTACAATAATGCAAACTGTCAGATTACCAACATCGTTGCTCGATATTTGGTCTGACAGAATGCTGAATGTGTGCCATACCCTCTATACAACTTAGACCTTATTCTCAGTGACTGTTTTTGGTCCCATTGTCTTAAATTGAGCTGCAAAGCCAGTGTTTTGGCTTATCAATAGCCATTCTGAAGAAGTCATAGGTGGTCCTGATGATATCAAAACACTGGTTCCAGAAAATTATCTAGGACTATCAGACATATTGGATCTAGTGCATACAACTTGAAGGGAATTAATTCAAAAAAGACCATATCAACCTGAACTTGTAATATATTTCATGAATAATAAATTCACCCTCACTCTTTGACTTGCACATATGTGAAGGTTCAAACTCAAAAACAAAAGTGCTTCGTATGATGTTTTAACTAATGATTACTACACAGCAAATTTATGAATTGTTCTTCCATATAAGTATTATTAGTTCTAGAACTTTTATCATAATTTTTTCAAGAATGCCTGAATAGTGTTCTGCAACTTTGGTAAAATGTAAGTATAAGTAAATCCACAAAATTTCTTCAAAAACAGTTATTACAAAATGCTGGATGACCCTGGTCAGTTGTTAGAATAATGTCAAAAAAAGATAAGTCAATTATAATCAATTTCAAATATTTAACTTTTGAATGATTTTTTCTCGATACTTTCAAGGAATGAATTTTTTGTAATCTATACTCCTCTGTTATTTTTTTTTATTTCCTCACAAGGAATATACAATAAAATATTGTATCCAAACATCAGCAAATTTTTTTCAAGAACTACGATGGCTGTATTGGCCCAAATATTAGTTGATGTTTATCTGTCTTAACAGAGGGAGAATGCTGTACTGACAAGAGCAATGAAATAAGAAATAGCAATTTCTCATTTTCACTAGAACTTTCATTTAACAATAAGTTCTGATGAAGATGAAAGTAATGAAGTATTGTATCAAACCAAATTTTAATGTATCTTGCTTTTTTATTTTGTAGGTAAAAAAAAATTAATAATAAAAGCTTGACTTATATTCAAATTCCTAATTTTTTTCCAAAAAGTAAGGTTTCTAAAATTGGAAGTTGACTCCTATTTGTGGCCATTTATCATGACTGAAAAGAATAGCTTCTGTTATTGGTAACAGCATTTCTTGAAGCCCTTTAAAACTGTCTTCATAACAATCGTTTATAAATTTTACTGATATTCTAACTTTTACAAGAATGTGTGAAATTTCTATTACTTTTTATCAATGCGAATTTGGAAATAAGTTACATTCAGTTACACATCTTTCTTTTCAAAACTACTTTTGTTAGAGGTAAAATTTTGTTTGAATTAGTATTTATAAATATTTGGAAATCAATTAGCAAAAATGAATTGCAAATCTCAAATTCAATAAAACAATAATAATTAGAATATTTTACTGAGTTATAAAAAGAGCTTTGGTTTTATACGAAAGTTCCAGTTACCTTGATAATAGCAGCAGTTGCATCAGCACGTAAACTTGGTTGGTGTCGCATTAATTCATCCATTGCATTCCCTAAATTGCTGGCAGTATCTCCAACTGGGTCAGAACTACGACGCCGTCTCATTGCAGGAAGATAATCAGGTGATAAAAGAACTTTAAATAATCTTTCAAATGGCTTACATGCCACAAATGCTTGGAGTCCTCTTGCATTTAAACACAGAGCACTAAACACATTTGGTAATGAGGCAAGTACTTCACGTGTAGCTGGAACCTAAAAACAAAGTTAAGCTCTTATTGATTCAGTTCTGTTTATCATTTCATTAACTTTCAATTTAAAATTTTTTAAATCATCAGATTATGAAATACTAGAATTAAATGATATAAACATTAATAAAGAAAAAATATTTAAACATTTATATTTTAATTACTAGTTCCTATAATTACATTGAAATAGTTGAGTGTTCTTTATTCCATTAAAAGTTTTACACTATTCTTTCATTGTCAAAACATTATTAGAGTTTTTGCACATTACCAACTAATAAAAATTTTTGTAAAAACTTTAAAAATAATTATTTTAAATTTTGAAACCTGTGTATAAGATATATAAATGAATAAATATCTGAAATAGCAGTTTCATTCAAGACAATATTATTATCTATTCTTGTATTTCAACTGCATGAAACTCGTGCAATTGAATAATATATTTCATTCAATTGACGAGTTTCATGCAATTGCAGCTGGGACAAAAGTAACTAATGGAATTTCAAATTTATGTAATGATTCTATTACATTATTTCTATTTATTATATTTTATACAACTATTTTAATTTTTCAATTATTTTAAGAATTAATATATGAACTTTCAAAAAATAACTAAAATCAAATATTATCAAATAATTTTGATAGTATTTGATTTCAGTTCTTGAAAATCTCAGTTGTTCATTAATTAACAGTTTTTCAGACCATTTCAGTCATCTGAATCAATGTGCAACTGGAATCAAGAAATAACTTTCTCCACAATGCTTTACAGCCTAAGACAATTTATTGTTCCTGATAAATAAATAAATAGATAGATAGATAGATAGATACAACTAAAACTATCAATAAAAAAGTAGTAAACATTACAAACTCTACATCAACAACTAGCATATTAATAGACACACACACAAGCTACTTTAATCAATAAAAAAATAAAATTTGTTGAATATTTACATTACACAAATTGATACTTACTTCTTTTACAAGCAAAGCTTGAAGAACAATATCCGTTAATCCGATATCTTGTAATGATGATAGTAACGAAGGTTCTTGAAATACATATACCGTTACAACATCCATAGCTGAAACAAAATAGTTAGCAAAAATTAAAAATAGTTTTATGCAATTTGAAAACTTATAATGCTGACAACTATTAAACTGACATGTATTAAAATTGAAATTTTAATTGAGTTTCCAATTTTCTTTTCATTTGTAAATAATAAAGCAAATTAATAGTGTACTGAGGCATAAACAATTTACCAATTAATATAGAAACACTAATTCCTATACAGGCAAATTCATAAGAATATTCAAATCTCTATTTATAATATTAATTGTGAGATAAATTTTTCTCAGAAATTTAATTGCCTTTCAGCATTAGAAGAGTCTCTCATGGCAGAAATTTCTGAAAATCTATATAAATCTATATAATCTATATAAATATAGTCAATATTAAATTACAATTATTTATATTTTTATATCCATCAGAAGTGTTTTAATATAATGTATTTCAATTTGATATCAAAATAATGAAAAATAAACATCTTTTTGCTTTGTAGTTATTAAATATGGTAGAGCATGTTGATCTATGCACATTGATACTGATTTAAAACAGTATAAAAATACTAAAATTTAGATGATAATTTTCCATTAACTATTGATATAAATTATGTCTTTAAACAGAAAATCCTTATTAGTTTCAAATTCAAGAAACAAAATAATCATGGATTTGAATTACTGAGTTTCAAATTATCTGAGATTTATACTGTATATTTCTACACAATATGCCAAATGCCACATAATTGAAATAATTTATTAAAGAAATAGAATACTGGTACATATACAGAATACTACTTTAATTAATAATAATATGAATAAACTGCAAGTAAGCAGCATATGTCTAGTGAGGACCTCACAGGTTGCCAGATAGATTTTATAAAAAGTAAAGCAAAATTCCTTGAAATGTAGCCCAAATTATTTCTAAGATGGCCCAAAAAGTAGTAAGTTACCCAAATGCCTATAGCCTACAAATAATAATCTTCTACTCATAGCACAATCTTGCAATCCTGAAAACCAGCCATATTTTATGAAATAAGCAAAAAAAAGGGTAGTCCATGAGTAAGGTGACACTTAAAAGTGTGTTTTTGTAAAAGCAAAGCCATATTGACTAGATTAGAGTTGTTCTTGGTTTCTATTGTTCTCTTATAGCATAGAGGCACTTTGATCTAAATGTGAAGCTCCGGAAATAGCCCCCCCAAAAAGAAAGATATGAAAAAACTTGTTAAGTTAAATTGTCAAGAAAGCAAATAATATAATTATCGAATCGGTGATACCAGACTTTGACGTCAGTGCTCATAAAGAATAACGGGAAAAACAAAATTTTAGATATAAAAGAAGAAAATTTAAAATATTAAAGTTAAGACGCAGTTTAGAAAGCAAAACAAAACTAGAAAAAAATATCAAAATGAGCGTAGGTGTCATAGTCAACAATTAAACGCGATCAGTGTCTAAAAGACGGGGTCAGATAAACCATCTCCAGCCGACCTTTCTCGCGAACTTTACGAAGCTCCATTTACACCTGGAGACAGGTGGAAGACCAATTAGAAAATAGTGATGTAAGGTCTATCCAATTAGCAAACAGCTGATCCTGAAAAACATAAAAGCACCAATTCCAAGGACAACGAAGACTTCCACTAAGACTTCCACTAGACTTCTTTTGTGTTCGTGTATCTCTTTTTTTTTTCATGCATCCTTTCACATCTTTTGTGCATCAACTTTCGAAACTTCGAACTTTTAGCACAACACAAAACCAGATCGCTGCCGAAAACTCCTACGACGCTGGACCAGATCGCTGCCGAAATTCCTACAACTCAAGACCAGAATCGACGCCAAATTTCCTCCAACTCAGGACCTTTCCAACGAGAGAATTTATGTAAGCATTATCGTCCGGAATAAACAGTTCGCCTCTGTAAAACACATGTCTTTGCTGCTTTTAAAAACCGCCACCCACATACGCGTAGACCTTAGACCATCCTGACGGTAGGGAATAAAAATCTTCCCCCAATTGGCGTTCTTACATAAACAAACAAGTTAACATACACACGTAACGGTTAAGATAGAATTTTTGAAGTAGCCATATTTCAAACTAACCAAATTCTTTAATGTGTAAATCTCTATCCCCAGCTGGGACAAAAGTAACTAATGGAATTTCAAATTATCCAAGTTTGAATTAACAAGAAATTCCTGTTTAAGTTATAGATAATAATATTTCTCTTAAAAATTTGAGATGAATATCATCTTTTAAAATTTATTTATAAACTGCACTTAATTTGTTTTTAACTGTTAAATTAAATATATGATAATATACCAACCCAAAAGAAATAATGATGGTCCATAATATTCTGCATTACTTATTACATGTTTCAAAGATCTTGGTAGAGAGCCATCCATCACTAAAATTATATTAAAAAAGTATTAAGTTTTTAATTGTAAATACAAAACATCTATATTAAATACTAATAATAATACATACAATGCCTAATGTTATCAGAAAATGCAGGATCTTGAATAGCTTTTTTTAAAAAATTTAACATTGATTTCAGAAGAGCTGCCCTTTGTGGAAAACACTGAATACCTACAAAAGAAACTGCTTTATAATTTCTATTAATTTTAACTTTTATTATTTAATATGATTAATCAAAATTTATAGATATCTGTTTTAAAAGAATATTAAAACACACAAGAACATGTCAGAAAATTTTAAATTATTTTTGTCAAATAAAAATCAGTTTATTTCTAAAAGAAGAATGATTACAATCATTCAAAAAAAATTAAAAATTATATAACCTTTATTTATTTCTTACATAGAAATAAGTCAATGAAAACAAAAGCATGGAATTATCCCTTTCTCTAATAATACAAAATAATAAATTGCATCAAATCTACTAACAGAAGATTATAAAACCTATTACTAAGAATATATTATGGGGTGATCAGAAAAAGTTCCTGTTTGAAATATATACCATTCTAAGTACTATTTAGACCTGTTCTTCCTACAACACTTGGTCATTGAATGGGAAGATGGATAACATGTTTTAGTTATGCGCACTAGGGGATATGTAGTGGTAATAAAATAGCAGCCCACTTGGAGAAGTGATCCCAAATCAAAATTCATGAAATCATATGAGAAACCATCAGGAAGAAATGTCTTGGTTTTTTGACAGACTGCGATCCTCCTCTATGGCAATACTTGACTTCCCACTGCACGGAGCACACAGGACCTGCTGTACAGCTTCCAGTGGCAGATTTTGGAGCACCCATCCTACAGCCCTGAAATAACACCTAGAGATTTTCATCTGTTCTCTGCCTTAAAGGAGCACATGGCTTTACTAGAGACAATAAATGCAAACACACTGCAAGAACAGGGCTTTACTAAGACAACAGGGCCTGGACTTCTATCCATCAGAGATAGTAAAACTTATCCACACTGTGGCAAGTGTCTGAGCCATAATGGGAACTATGTGAAAAAAATAAAGCATTGTTGCCACTTTAAAATCACCATATCAGTTTACAGCAGTGGATCCTTGTTTTCCATACATAAATTAGGAAACTTTTTCTGATCACTGCCAGTATATCATTAGTACTAAGTATAATAGTAGGTTCAATAAAAATTATATTGTGTTAAGTTTAACAAAAACATAATCATGTCCATTTTAAATATTTATCAATCACAAGGAAATTTTTATAGTTCTAAAATTAACAATATATATATATATATATATATAGTTTCATCAAGACAAAAAAAATTTGAAGAATCAATATTAAAAAAAGAAAAATGCAAGACTCCATGATTATTTCAAATAGTTTTTTTTTTATTGTTATTAAATATATAAATATGGTAAATAAAATATTTATTAGTAACCAATTTATTATATTGGTTGGATAATTCTGGAAGTTAATCACAAAAATACAACAGTTCAGAAATAGAACTGGCATGATTATCATTTATTAACTGTAGTAAATTCATTAGCAATAAATTTACTAATGTTGCTAAAGTCAATAAGTGTTTACAGAAAAACAAAATATAAAGCATTTCATGATTTCTAGAATAAAAATAATCCAATTTAAAGATATTGTTTATTTTATAATTCTACATATTATAGTAACATAGATAATTATAATAAGTACTGTTCAGATAAAGTATTCAAAATATTTTGTGGCATTTTAGCCATTAGTTATATATATTCCTCAGTTCATCTTTTTAAAGTTCTAAGTCAGTCAATCATTTGTATATAGGGAAAAGAGCTTCACCAATTTCTTTTGGAAGTATGTGTGTGCTCTCATTTCTGAGATGGATCTTTGAGAGATTGTTTAAAATGACACCAAGACTGGACACTGATGGGACAAAATGTATGATGTGGCTCTTCATCTGTTGAAATCATATGAAAGAAAGATGCAAAAGCAGCATTTCTTGTTTTTTCAATATCTGGTGCATTATTTTCCAATGCTTGTCCATAATAATTCTGTATTTTTTCTATTTTTTCATTTATGAGATGACCTTTACCTCCTAAATTTATTCCAGTCAATTGCATTATTTCTTTTAATTTTCTGAGTGCTGAACTCATTTATTTTGAAACATGATTTATATATTTTTCTTTGCCAATTATATAATTGTCACCATAAATATTATTTTCCAATCACCATCAGAAAGAACAGCCAGATATCAAAATCCATATTTTTCTATTTAGTGTACAAATAGTTGTAATGCTGCTTTATCTCCATGGCACCTGACGATTCACTGTAATTTATATGACAGTCATAATTTTCAAATTTTTTAAAACAAACTATAGCAATATTTGCTCATGGCAGCAAAATCAAGATGATGATCTATCAAAACATCAATAACAGCAACAATCCCAAATAATGATGAATGACCTCACTTGTGTCATGTCCCATCATAACTAACAGCAATATTAATATCATCCAGTTTTTTTTATATTCAGTTTTTACAATCTTAACAACTTCATAAAAATGTTCTTCTAAAACTTCAGATACTGTATTATCAACTGTCTTAGAAATAGATTGAAAGGTTTCCAGGTGGAAAGGTCTCGGAATAGTCATCCCAGAAGAATAATTTATTATTTTAGTGTACCAAAAACTATTATTTTTTGCTGACATTACAGCCAAAGTATTAATATTAAAAGTTTTATTTACTTTGTTAAAAACTGACAAATTTACTTTTTACTTTAGTAATTATTTCATTAAAAATACTCGTATAACAAAATACATCAAAAACTGTAACAATGCCTTTATGTTTTTCTATTATCTTTAAATTCTGTTGATAACATTTTGAGTATGCAAGTAATTTTGTTAAATTTTCAATTGCTCCTAAACTAATAATTCCATATCCAGGGCATTGATTTTCCAAACACATGGCTGTCTCCTCAAAATATTGCTGTTTTTGATATAAAGTCTATCCTATATTTTCATCAAATTTATGTAGTGCCTTTTAATTCTTTGGAACATGTAGAATTTTCTAAATTTTCTTAAATGACAATTTGTAATATTCATGTTATTCTCAGAGTCTATTTGTTTTCACCATTGTCATCCACTCTGATCTTGTGGTTTTACTTTCTTTCTCAGTAAAAATGTTTGTTTTGCCAATCTTTTTGTACATGGTATAATTATTTAAATAAAAAAAAATCTTTAGAAACTAAAAAATGTTAATTTTACAAAGATAAATAACTAGTAAATGTTCAAAAAACAACACAACAACACTCAACTAGTCAATAGCACAAAACACTCACTCAAGTGAATCAGTAATAACCAATAGGTAGATGTGAAAATATCCTCTGACTAATCACACTGAGTATAAGATTGAAAGTTTAGCCAATAAAACATCTTATAACTATGAACAGACCTTTGTATAAACAAAGTCAAGAGCAAGAAAGACAGAGACAAGCTTTTGAATGATATATGGCATGAGCCACTATCTTGGAAAGTATTGATGACTACTGTTCAAATTTGACTAAAATGACACTTTTAGAAAAAATAGCAGATGACATATAGTAAATTATTTTAGTTTTATTAATTGACAAGACTATGTCTCATTTCTAAAATCATGCTGCAGTCAACGGCTTCACACCTTAGAGATACGAAATACATGTCAGGAGTTGAAATTTGACACAGAGTATTTGGTGCCCAAATCATGCATACATAAAATAAACCAGACTTATAAGTAGTCAGGAGACTGAAAACCAGGTCAAAATAAAATACAAAATGTTGAGACTGTTTCTACAAACAGGTGTGAATGCAAGATTTGTGCATGCATTGCTCATGCTCTCCAAGACAGCTATTTTTGAGACAAGACTTTGCCATTTCACTTGTTATTTTTACCTTATTATTTCATATTTTCAAAAAATTTTAATAGACTATGACACAGAAAATTACATATAATCAAAAAATCCAAAAATCTATATTTTGGTCAATTTTAATGAACTTTCTGCCCTCGTGTCCCCTTAAAAAGTTGCACTTTTCTACTGTGGTCAATTTTCCCTATTTCGCTATATTATATATATATATACTAGCTGCAAGGACCCGCTTTGCTGGGTTTTTAAAAAGTAACGATAGTGAAGATTAAGATAATTACATTATAGCCAACCTTACCCGTTTTCACAGAATGCAAGAATTAGGTCCCTCGTTTCCAGACTAATTAGAGACCTGATCCCGATTCTATTTCTGAACGTCCCCTGTTCACGTCAAGTCAAATGAACTATTTTCAACATTTCTGGAACGTTTACAATCGTTCTATAATCAAACCAATATTCGAATTTTATGTTTGAATTTAATTCGAACAAATTCGAACAAAACATTCGAAATAGAAAGCCACTTTCAACCACTTTCAGCCTCATATCTCCCGCACCCTTATAGCTATCGAGACGCAACCACCCCTATGCACGAATGGAGACTTGGGGCTACCACCACATACAAACACCATTCACGTGCGATGTGTAGTTTTGGCAAAAAAGTGAAATATAGGGACATACATGTCTATTTTTCTATATATATAGATATAGGGTATACCACAAGGTAACAGGAATATTTTTACAGTATTCATGAGGCCTAGGGAATCCAAACACATTCCTATTATCATAGTCGTTTAAATGTATTATTTCAGTGTTTTCGGTGTTAAAAGTTAAGGTTTATTCTAGCTACCCATTAAGATGCTTCTATAGCATTACTACATGTTATGGAAAGTCTCAATCTCACAGTACTTGCACTTTTATGCTGTACTAAAGAACCAAGAAATGCTAACAAACCTTGCATTTCTTGGCATATTCTGCAGCACTTCTCAAATTACTAAACTACACTACATTTGAATTACTCTTTTTAGACTTTAATAATAGCAGGAAGAAAAAAAATTTTCTAACTTTTTCTTGAAAGTTGTGGGAATGACCTCAGATCCCTGAAGATCCTTCTATCTATTCCATATCTGTTATGAATGTTTGTTTACCTTTATTTTAAATACATTTACTCATATTTCCAATGAGCATAGCCATTTAAATAAGATGTCAACAGATAGTGCTAGGTGTTAAGATTTAATCATTTAAGTTTTTCAATTTTTATTGAATTTTTTCACATCAAATAATTTTCCTACAATTTTTTTTTGGTTGCAATTATGACTATTATTGAATAATTTAATGTTTAGTTCTTTAAAAATATAAATACAAATAAGCAAAAACATCATAGTTATTATAGTTTAGTGTATTTTTTTGTGAGGTGTATTTGCATATTTTCTGAGATGTGTAAACAAAACCAAAATTCTGTTGCACACATCAAATCTTTGTCAATTAGTAGAAAACAATCAGTACAATGAAAATAAACCATTACCAAATCAGAATCAAATCTAGATTTTTCAATCGGTGCAATTATAAAAAAAAAAGTCTTAAAAAATTATTTTTCTTCATTTGTTTACACTAATTTCAAATTATCTATAATCATACCTATATCAAAAAACCATACTTATTATAAATAAATTTAAAGAAGAAAAACAATCTTTATGTTTTTATTATAAATCTAAGTTGGTTTTCAGATGTGCACGATTTTAAAAAAGTCAACAAAGGTCAGTCCACAATCATAGTAAGAAACAACTGCATCCCATACATGTTAAAATTCAAATAAAATAATTATATCTAGCATTATCAAATTCAAGAATATTTTGAGATTTGATTAATAATAATTCCGTAAAAGCCCAAACATATTTACCAATAAGGAACTAATTTAAGATATTAAATTTTTGGCATCATAAAAGAATATATCTTATACATTTCAAATCATCAGAAATATTTCTAAATACAAATATATTTTTAAATACAATTTTATAAAAAATTCTATTCTATAGAATTTAATTTTAGCTATGCATATATAGATATACCTTTACCAAATTCATTCTCATATTTTGTAATTTCTAGTATGTTAGATTTCCCTACAGTATCCTGAGAACTGGTAGATGCCACATTAGAGTCTGATGTTTGAGGTCCTGCTTCACTGCAATAGAAAAAAAAAATATATACATATATATATGTGTGTGTATGTACAATGATGATAAATTCTTATTAACAGACATATTCACAATTTATTAACTAAATAATGTTATAATTATTATGTTGGGTTTAGTAGGTAATACTCGGTTTAAACCGGTGGCAGTGTAGTATGCCTGACCAGAGTCAAGGCATAGCAACCAAAACAAAACTAAAATTAAATGTGTGTGTCAGTGTCTGTATTAAGGAATTTCCTAACAATATGGCATGTATTCAATATAGTGGCCTTCTGTAGTGTGATGTATGTATTTCTACTCAATTGTAATGTTCCCAGGCTTTTGTGTAGCATGTGTGGTATNACTAATTTCAAATTATCTATAATCATACCTATATCAAAAAACCATACTTATTATAAATAAATTTAAAGAAGAAAAACAATCTTTATGTTTTTATTATAAATCTAAGTTGGTTTTCAGATGTGCACGATTTTAAAAAACTCAACAAAGGTCAGTCCACAATCATAGTAAGAAACAACTGCATCCCATACATGTTAAAATTCAAATAAAATAATTATATCTAGCATTATCAAATTCAAGAATATTTTGAGATTTGATTAATAATAATTCCGTAAAAGCCCAAACATATTTACCAATAAGGAACTAATTTAAGATATTAAATTTTTGGCATCATAAAAGAATATATCTTATACATTTCAAATCATCAGAAATATTTCTAAATACAAATATATTTTTAAATACAATTTTATAAAAAATTCTATTCTATAGAATTTAATTTTAGCTATGCATATATAGATATACCTTTACCAAATTCATTCTCATATTTTGTAATTTCTAGTATGTTAGATTTCCCTACAGTATCCTGAGAACTGGTAGATGCCACATTAGAGTCTGATGTTTGAGGTCCTGCTTCACTGCAATAGAAAAAAAAAATATATACATATATATATGTGTGTGTATGTATATATATATATACATATATATATGTGTGTGTGTGTGTATGTTACAAATGCGATTCTGTTTTACACAAACTTTTTACAATGTTTTGATTGAATATGAATTAGAAAAAGTCTCTCTTTTCTTACAGTTCTTCTAAGTTCTCTCTTTGATTTAACACAATTGACCCAATCCCAAATTCTAAAAAATGTTTTTTGTATCACTGTATGTGGCACTTCATGTTATTCATCTAGATGTTTTTGGTTCCAATTTAAATAATTTTCAGGAATTTCCCTACTATACATATATAACTTCCACAGGAAATTTGTTTTCTTGCATTTTGAATTGCTGTTTAAAGTGAAAAGTTCCATTTTGATGTTTAATAGTTTAAAGAATTTAATCAAAGCTAATAAAATTTGTGTATGATTAAATTTATTAATATTTTTAAGTAGCATTACACCAACAGAGCAAGGCAGTGATGACTAAGATATTTCTAATAGTAACAGTGATATATTGCTGCCTTATACAACATGTGTGTTTATTGTTAGAAAGTGACAAATAAAACCTTGTGTGTAATTCATTATTTTGCCAAATTTTGTGTTTTTGAATTAATACCATGTATTTTTCATTTCAAATGATAACTTACTTTATACAACACATTTTTACATAAATGTGCAATCTTTATGAAATAAAAATGCAAGCATGTAAAAACAATAAGATTTTAATATGATTTTTCATATAATTTATTGCCAATCTTCTGTTTTTCCATAAATACATGTAAAAAATTGTGTGAAACAAGTATACAGTGCTTTTTGGAGATTACATATCTATCATGTAAAAACAGAATTGAATTATGTATGTTACCGCTAAAGCTCGAAATCCGTTAATGTGCACATTACCTAGCTAATCTGCACATTAACTAGGGTGATTTGTTAAAGTTGCTAAAATTGTTCTATTTCTCAAATTACCTAGGTAATGTGCAGAGTATCTAGGTAATCTGCACATTACCTACTAGGCACTCAATAAAGTGAAAATAAGATTTTTGCTGGAACAACAGCAACGTTTCTGTACGCTT